TAGGACTAATTGTTTCCATGAATTTTTGGTTTTCTTCATTCTTCTTTGCTCTGGATGAGGAGAGACCCATCGTTGCATCTAGATGGCAGGTTGCAAGCTTTTAAGATCCTAGTCGCTACTCGGCACAGTAGGAGGTGGAACAACGTTGTGTGTAGTATTGTTATGCCAATTGAGATTGATGTCCTCTGTGACTATGGTCCCAAGCTCACAGGTTCAACTACTCAGTCCTTCTGGGTAGCTGGCTGTGACCAAGCAGTGACTACAACCTTGTCCCTTGTCAGCTCCAGTATACACCTGGGAATTCAGATCATACACATAAAGTTATAGGACCATGGTTTGCTAACCCTATACATGTTCTTGGGCACACTCCCCACTTCATAGACATACCTAATAAATAGTTCAGCCTGTCCACCCATTTTTCCACCCATATACCCATGTTTGCCTTCACTGACAACGCCGTACTATATGTGCAAACACCAGTTTAGGAACTGTACTTCCCACTTACCTCTCTCTGTCTTTCTTTTCCTCAATGTCATTATATTGATCACTCATATTTGGTACATTGAGCAGTGACAGAGTTTTAAACTTCTTTGATTGCTTTGCTTCTGTTATATGTATGTTGTATATTTAGATAATGTGAATTTTAAGGAGATCTTACTTTTGGAGGCGTTCTGATGGCACAGTGGTTAAAGCATTCAGCTGCAAACCCAAAACATCAGCAGTTGAACCATCCACTCCCTGGGAGAAAGATGAGGCTGTCTGCTTCCGTAAAGATGTGCAGCCTTGAAAACCCTGTGGGGCAGTTCTGCTCCTCCTGTGGGGCTGTGACGAGTCAGGATCATCAGGATCACTCGTGGCAATTGGTTTTATTTTTGGTTTACTTTTGTGGGAGTTAAGATCATAAAATTCATGGAATGTTTACTATCTCACAGACAAATACTAGAGAAGCACAAACAACATGTTTCACCTTATTTTCTTTAGAAGCAGCGTTACGAGGTCTTCTGGGAGCCTTGACGAGCACCCCTTACTCTCCCACCCAGCACCTGGAGCGCGAGCAGGCTCTTGCTAAACAGTTTGCAGAAATTCTTCATTTCACTCTGCGCTTTGATGAGCTCAAGGTACAGTTTCCTGATGGTCCTGAGTGCTAGGCAAGTTACAGGTCTTTAAAGGAACACTAGGAAGAGGAGCCTGGAGACCTTGTTGAAATGTGGTTGAGTGATGTCTGCTGGACCTTAGCAAAAATGGAAATGTGGATTTAAAAAGTACGACAGGTCTTTTGATGTCATTTGTGGCAGATAGCACCTGATCTAGTGTTTAGTCTTCATTTAAGTTTATTTCGAAATGGTCTGTGAAACAGTATTGACATTCTTTCCAGATTTTTCTTCCTGCTCATCTTTTTTATTTTTAAAAGGCTTTTTCCATAAAAATGTTGTTCAACTTTTTATCTTTAAGCTGGAATATCCTGTTGTCAGAAGGAGTGGGTATATGGAATGAGCAACAGATTTGGTGTCAGGAGACCTGAATTCAAGTTGAGGCCTCTCTAGTTCTGAAACCTTGGGCAGGTCCTTTGACTTACCAGGCCCTACTGCCAACATTTTAGGATTTTATCATTGATAGGTGTGGACTATCTTTCATTAATACTTTGTATACATGATTTGCCTGTAAAATTTTAGTTCATATGAGGATTGTCCTGTGGACCAAATAGGCATATTTTATCATGATCTAAAACAAGTAGCTTATGTATTTCTTTTTGTTTGTTTGGTAATATCTTCTTTGGGTAAAGAATCTTGTTAATTGAATTACGTGAAATTATTGAAATGAAATGAAAAGGAAAGTACATTGGCCATGACTGAGGAACAGTCTGCATTGTTTTATATCTTCCGTGGGGACTGAGCACAATGTTAACAATTTACGTGCAAAAAGCCAGCTTGCATGAGACCAGTTTTAGTTCCTAAACTGGTGTTACAAATTAGGGAATGTTACATAACCAGTGAAAACTGCATTTAATAGTTTTATCATTTAGTGTTTATGTTAATAATCGACATTTAGTACCTTTTTCTCTCATGAATGTCTTCCTCAGATGACAAACCCTGCCATTCAGAATGATTTCAGCTACTACAGGAGGACATTGAGTCGGATGAGGATTAACAACGTTCCGGTAAGTTCATGCTTTGTGTTGGGGCTCTGAATTTAGTTGGTTTATTCTTTTGTTTCATTCATCCATCCACACACTCATTCAGATAAATCTTCAATCCAGTAGTAAAGTTAGTCATTGTGAGCAACCGTAGCGGGGGGGAGGAGGGAGCAGAAGTCAGCAAAGCATATGTTTACCTGTTTTTCTTGTGGTCACTTAAATGCCCATAGGCCCATCAGTAATGTTGCTTTTTGTCTGCATAACATTGATGCTTAGAATATTTCTCTGTGTAATCTCATTTTAATTGTATGAAACTTTTGTGAATTAGTGATTATGGAGTTTTTTGGTTCCCGTATTCTTTTTTTTTTTTTAATTATGATTTGGGGGAAGGTTTACAGAGCAAATTTACTTTCCATACAGTGGTTCACATATACTTTGTCTCATGACATTGACCACAGTTTACCACAATGCAACAGCTCCCCTCCCACTTCCTCCCCATAGTTACCTCTTCCCTGTGTCCATCCCTCCATGCACTCCTGCCCCCTGAGCTGTCTCCCTGTGCATAAGCAGCCCTTCTTTCTTCCCTGATTGTTCTCTCCAAGGAGTGTATCTACTTGAGGTAAATGTTCAACTCATATGCCTGTCTTTTGTTTGGCTGGAAACCACAGGTGTGGGTTCAATTCCAGATCTGAAGGGCAGCGAGGGGCCATAGTCTCAGTGGTTCCACCAGGCTCTATCAGACCAGCAAACCTGGTCCCCACCCCCTTTTTTTTTTTTTTTTTCCTCCAAATGATTTTGGGTTTTGTTCCACATTGTTCTCCCTCTCTATCAAGGATCCCCTACATAGATCCCCTTCCAAGTGGATGACAGTGGTAGCCGGGCACCATCTAGTTCTTCTGGTCTCATAGTCGTATAGGCTGCAGATCAGATGGTGTACCAGTCGCTAGGACTAATAATAGTTTCCATGAATTTTGGTTTTCTTCATTCTTCTTTGCTCTTGACGAGGAGAGACCCATCATTGCATCTAGATGGCGGTTTGCTAGCTTTTAAGATCCCAGTTGCTACTCGCCAAAGTAGGAGGTAGGTTCCCATATTCTTAAGAGTGGTTGAATCCTGGAGAGAATGACCCTGTCTGGGATAACCTGCTCTCTGTCCTCCTCCCTGGGATAGAAGTTGTAATGTTGGTAGGAGAGCAGTGAGAGAGCAGTAACTTTTAGTGCATCCGTACCTTTGATGGCCGTTTGAAAAAACGGCTTCTATGCCTGTGTCTGGGCTAGCATCTCTTCTGGTTTCTTTAGGCTTTTTCACCTCTTAACTTCCTCTTAAACTATTTAGTACATCTTTTTTTACCCCAAAAGAGTCAAATACCATTAAGTAAAACCTTAAATATAAAATACTTTTTCTCCTAGGTATTTTGAGAGCCTGTATTGTGCTAATTGGTATAAAAAGTTGATCTCAAGGATCAACACTAGCCCCCAAGTAGAGGACATTTTAATAGAAAATGCTGTATCCACATAGGGAGTGATAGTGGTGTGAGAGGTTAAAGAAAATTTACGAAAGGTAGCCACCCCCCTCGTTCAGTAAATATTTTATGAAGTGGTTGCTCTAAGCCAGGCCCTGGGTTGGGAAGAATTCTCTTCCATGAAGCATCTGTTGTTTGCATCAGTTTGGCTCTGGTGTGAAGCTGACCATCCCTCTGTCATTTTCATACCCACCCTGTGAAAGAAAATAAAGCAAAACATGCATCGTCTGTGGTTGCCACCTCCTGTCACTCCAGGCCAAAGACATGGCAGTTGTCTGTGTACTGTCCCCTGCCCTCTAGAATGATCAGTAAATGCCGTCGTCAGCTGGTTGTCTCTCCCGTCTCATCCTTTTCTCCTTGTTCATCTGCTTCTAGCCCAGTTGGCAGCCTCATTTTCACTCCATTTGGGCAGTCATTCTTTACCAGCATAGCTCATATTCCGACCAGTTCTTTTCCTTTTTGGTGCACTCTGCTCGCTGCCATCGGTTAACTTTTAGAAAATTGATTTGTCACTCCTTTCCTCTAATGCTCTAAATGGCTTTCCATTAGACATGGAAGAAAACTAAACTTAAGCAAGCCTCTACAATCTGATCACAGCCTTCCTTTCCAATTTTACCTTTGGTGATTTTCTGCCCGTTATCCTCTACTCTAAGGAGTTGTGATGGTGCAGTGGGTGAAGCGTTTAGCTGCTAACCAGAAGGTCAGCATTCAAACCCACCAGCTGCTCAACAGGAAGAAATGAAGCAATCTACTTCTGTAAAGATTTACAGCCCTGGAAACTGTAGGGGTCGCCATGAGTTGGAATGGACTAGATGGCAGTGGGTTTGGTCTTTCTATTTTTTGTATACTGCTGTACTGGACTGAACTGAAAACACAGAGCATGCCCAGCCTCCCCCCACGTGGTTGGAATACCGTGGTTCCCTACCCGCCATCATCTCTAAGAGCACCTTTCCTCTGTGCATGCTTCTTAACTTACTTGCAGTCTGACTTCATTTTCCTCTCTCCCCTTTTTCTATCAGTGACAGTTAGCATGTTGTTGTGGATGCTGTGTGCATACTCCCATGTTCACAGCAAAGGACGGACAGTGTCGTGATGGTCTTTTTATGCTGCATAGCATCTAGACCCTTCCATGTATACGGAAGGCAGTTCTTCACATTTTTGTTCAATTGCTTAATGTCATCTTAAATATTTTTAAATTAAGAGAGTAATCTTTTTTAAACAATTATTTCTGATGTTTATATTTTTAAACAGTATTTAAGTCACATGGGGTTTTAAAACTACTGTTTGTAAAGGGTTTTTATTGTATTAGTTTAACAGGCATTCATGTGACAGACACTGTGCCCGGGTCTTCTGATAAGTTGTCGTGGTTCATAATTATGAACTGATACTGAGTCCGGTTATTTTCTACACAGGCAGAAGGAGAAAACGAAGTAAATAATGAGTTAGCAAATCGAATGTCTTTATTTTATGCTGAAGCAACCCCAATGCTGAAGACCTTAAGTGACGCCACCACAAAATTTGTATCAGAGGTGAGCATTGCCTACGGAAGTTATTCTGTGCAGTTACTGTCTAGCTAGCTGAAGACAGTGCTTTGTTTAGGTGAAAAGTATTCTTTAATATGATAGTGCTTGCCAGAAATAACCATTTATTGATCTGTGTAGTTGTCTGACTGGACTTTCTGTCATTTAAAACCTTCTACTTTTTTTGGTCACAATCAGAAGAGCAGCTTATTTTTGAGCTTCTCCCATTAATGGTGACAATCTCAAGAAGTCTTATGACTTTAAATCGCATTCCTAAGCTGATAGACCCCTGGTGCCTTCCCTGAGGGCCCTCTGTGCACATGCACTGTCTGTCTGCGGTCTCCTTGACATGTACATTCGACAACTCAGCAATAGCATGGCCAAGCCAGACTCCCGATTTTTCCGTCCAAGTCTTATTCTTTCTTCCACTCTTCCTGCTTTCTCCATAGAGCAGCCATGTGATCTTCTTAAAACATCATTGGTCCCTTCTCTCCTGTGCTTCCCAGTACTCACAAGATAAAAGTCCAAATGCCTCTCAGGGGCTGCAAACTCTGCACCCCTGCCCCTGCCTGCATGGCTGATTGTTCTCTGCCCAGCCCCTCGGGAGGGCAGAGTTTTGTCTGTCTTGCTTCATAGGTAGATCCTTGAAGCTTAGAGCAGTCCCCGGAAGAATCTAGGGAACTTTTTAGAAAACTCGGAGTAGGAACTAGATTTTAAACTTGCTGAATTTTAATACTGTGCTGTATTTTAAATTATACTTGCTTAACCATTATTTGTCATTTTCACGTGTTTCTGTTCTCTGTGCACTTTTGCAGAATAAAAATTTACCAATAGAAAATACCACAGATTGTTTAAGCACCATGGCTAGTGTGTGCAGGGTCATGCTTGAAACACCGTGAGTATTAACTGATTGTTCTCACTACAAGAATGTTGAGATGTTGGGTGTTTTGTAACATGTCCAAATAGGAGCATGTTGTAGTTGGAAAGTGGGAATTGAGTTAGTCCCACGTGTGCAATGTTAAGATTGAAACAGTTTGGCAGCTTAATACAACGTCTGGTTAAGTATAAAGGACATTTGGTTTTCAGGTGCCTCCGACTAAGTTAGACTCTAAAGAACCAGGATTCTGTGGAGCTGTGTGTGTGTGTGTTTGTGTGCGCACACGCGTGTGTGTGTTTGTGGTGGGGGACCATAGGAAAGAGCTGTAAAACTGTGTGTGTGTGTGTGTGTGTGTGTGTGGTGGGGGACCATAGGAAAGAGCTATAAAACTGCTCCAGTGAGCTTCTCATAAACTGTGAAGAACGTTGCCTTACTGTGCAAGGACTACAGTTACTCAAGGTTACTTCCTTTCTCTTTTGATACCAGTTCTCAAGTTTTATTTTTTCAGCCCAGGTTTGAATTCTCCGCTGGGTTGCTCTTCTCTCTGAGGCTATTTGTGGTGTATTCCATTGTGTTTCCTGGCTGGATTCTCATGTCAGCAAGCGGAAAGAATGCCCTCTGGATCATTGAATGACACATAGTTTTACTGGATAGCTTTTGCTTTTGTTGGGCTTTTTATTTTCCAAAACTCTGTTTTATTATATACATTATTGTACCAGAAAACTGCATGAAGTAGAAGGCCGCTATCTTCCTTCTTCTCCATCTCCTCCTCATTTACGGGAGTGAGGTCCTGGGAAATGAAAGGACTTGTGCACAGTGGCTGACCCCACCGGGTCCGGATGTCTCCATCCTGATTCTGATCTCTTTCTGCTCTGCCCTGCTGCCTTCTCTGTAGACAAAAGCTCTTAATCCCCTTTCCTCAAGTGGAAGGTGAATATGTCTGAATTCTAGTAAAAATCAGATCTAGTAATGATAACGTAAGACCCATGTGGCGTAAGGGATACGTGCTCTACTGGTAACTGGTTCAGACCCACACAGTAGCTCTCTGCAGGAGAAAAAACCTAGCAGTCTGCTTCTGTAAAGATTAAATGAAAAACACCTCATTGCCATTGAGTTGATTCCAGTTCACAGTGATCCCATCCGGTGGAGTTAGAATTGCCCCATAGGGGCAGTAAATCTCAGGCTGTAAATCTTTACAGAAGCAGATTGCAACATCTTTCTCTCATGGAGTGGCTGGTGGTTGAGAACCACTGACCTTTTCAGTTTGCAGCTGAGCACCTGATTGCTGCACCACCAGAGCTCCTCCTTCTAGAGATTACAGCCTAGAAAACCCTACGGGGTAGTTCTGCTCTGCCACACGGGGTCAATAAGAGTCGTAATTGACCGGACAGCACCTAACAACAGTACTGTAATGTATTTAGATCCAGTTAGGCCCTTACTAGCAAACACATTTGCTCTATTAAGTTTATGATTTTTATCCCTGTTAGTGCCAACAGCCTGTCCGCAGGCACTGACTTGGGAGCTACTTTTGATTTCTCTCTGTTGAGCAGCAGGGGTGTGTGGCCTTCTAGGGTGGGTACACAAAGGAAGTATGTGGGTGCCATTACTGCACTCCTCATCTCGTAGATGTGGGTGCCATTACTGCACTCCTCATCTCGTAGAGGGTTTTTGATGTGTCCCATCCTTTCCCCTCTCTGCCCTCCAGGGAGTACAGAAGCAGGTTCACAAACGAAGAGACGGTGTCCTTCTGCTTGAGGGTAATGGTGGGCGTCATAATCCTCTATGACCATGTACATCCAGTGGGAGCATTTGCCAAAACTTCAAAAATTGACGTAAGTCGCGTTGTGTCCTATCATTTCAACAGGTTTCCTTAAGTGGAAATCAGGCGTTTTCATTTTCTTTAAAGAGCTGGGGGACTGGACTTTGTCATGGAACTCAGGTGCCTAGTTTGTAGTGATGGCCTCCTTGGCTCTCTTGTTGTTTCTCATAGGCCATATGCAGGTGGTCGAAGGATGATTGAAAGATCACTGTATTGTCTTGTGAGTGTCTTGTTCATGTACATAAATGGTTGTTCTGTGTATCTGGCAGTATACAGGGAATTTGTGTGTGTGTGTGTGTGTGTGTTCATTAATGCCTTTCGTCAAAGCCCATCTCAAATAAAAGACTTATTTCTAAATGTGTATCCAAAGTCATTTGGTGTCCTCAGTGGAAAAAGGTGGAGACTTTACATGGCTCCCCCAGTCCCTCCCCCATCATGATAATTTGTGACTATGGTCTAGATGTCTGCTTTGCTTATTGCTATAACAGTATAAGAAATACAGTAGTTTTCTAGTTTGTCTATTTTATTGTCTCTCCCCTCACGTCGGTCGATCAGCTCGTAACCGGCCTTTTGTGAGAAGAGTATTCCATTTCTCCTTTCACAGCAGGTTCAGGCTCTTACCACTCTGTGTCTAGATAACTGATTACTAGCCAGTTCAAGGCAGGTTACGTTTACTGAGGAATTGTGCCCCAGGAGTGTCACCCTTGTACTCCGATTTAACTCTGAAAATCCTCCTAGGAGGTGGGTGCTATTATTTCCTCTTTACTGAAGAAGCAAACACTGAGGGAAGTGTAATCTAAAGGAGGTCTGGTGGTACAGTGGTTAAAGCATGCAGCGGCTAACCAAGACGTTGGCAGTTTGAGTCCACCAACTGCTGCGCAGGAGAAAGATGAGGCAGTTGTCTTCTGCAAAGGGTTACAGCCTTAGGATCCCTATGGGGCAGTTTTACTCTTTCCTAAAGGGCTGCTGTATGTAGGAGTCAACTCGATGGCAGTGAATTTTGGAAGTTATGTAATTGCAAGTGAACATTACAGTGAGGTTTTAAACTCGCTTCCCTCTGTCTTCCAAAGCCTGTGTTATTGCTACTGTGTTGTGCTTTTCCTCTTAAGACCGGGCCTCTGGGCAGATAGGTGGACACACGGCGGCTCAGGCCTTTTGGGGTGGCTTATTTTAAGGCTGGGCCCTTGGGCAGGTAAGAACAGGTGGGGAGGTGAGCAGAGCAGTTGGAACAACTAAGGGAGATGAGCTTTTCTGCCATTTTGTTGTCCTGTGGTGGCTTGTGTGTTGCTGTGAGGCTGGAGGCTATGCTATCGGTGTTATAGAATGCCAGCAGGGTATCCATGGTGGACAGATTTCAGCGGAGCTTCTAGGCTAAGACAGACTCGGAAGATGGAGGAGGCCATCCACTTCTCAAACAGTTGGCCAGTGAAAAACTTATGAATAGCAGTGAAACATGATCTGATATAGTACTGGGAAACTTTATGAATAGCCTCAAAACATTGTCCGATATAGTGCCAGAAGATGAGCCCATCAGGTCGGAAGGCACTCAGAATACAACTTTTAGAAGAGATGATGCCTCATTGTAGAGATGACCTTAATGTGTGGATGGAGTAAAGCTTTTGGGACCTTCATTGGCTGATATGGCACGACTCAAAATGAGTAGAAACAGCGGCAAACATCCATTGATAATCGGAACGTGGAATGTACAAACTATGAATCTAGGAAAACTGGAAGTTGTCAGAAATGAAATGGAATACATAAAAATCAATATCTTCACAATTAGGAGCTGAAGTGGACCGGTTTTGGCCATTTTGAATCAGACAACCACATATGATCTACTATGCCGGGAATGACAAATTGAAGAGGAATGGTGTGGCATTGATCATCACAAAGACTGTTTCAAGATCTGTCCTTCTGTACAGTGCTGTCAGTGCTGTCGTAATATCCATACGCCTACAAGGAAGACCAGGTAATACTACTGCTATTCAAATCTGTGGACCAACCACCAAAGCAAACATGAGGAAATTGAAGATTTCTACCAACTTCTGCAGTCTGAAATTGACCAGATATGCAATCAAGATGTGTTGATTATTACTGGTGACTGGAATGCAAAAGTTGGAAACAAGAGTGTATAGTAGTTGGAAAATATAGCCTTGGTGATAGAAATAACACTGGAGATTGTATGATAGAATTTTGCAAGACCAATGACTTACTCATTGCAAATACCTTTTTTCAACAACATATAAATGATGGCTATACACGTGGACTTCACCTGATGGAATATACAGGAGTCAGATTGACTACATCTGTGGCAAGAGGTAATGGAGAAGTTCAGTATCTTCAGGCAAAACAAGGCCAGGAGCTGATTGTGGAACAGACCATCAACTGCTCATATGCAAGTTCAAGTTGAAGCTGAAGACATTAAAAGAAGTCCATGAGAGCCAAAATATGACCTTGATAATATCCCTCCTGAATTTAGAGACCATCTAAAAAATAGATTTGATGCACTGAATAGCAATGAATGAAAACCAGAGGAATTGTGGAATTATATCAAGAACATCATCCATGAAGAAAGCAAGAGGTCACTAAAAAGACAAGAAAGGAAGAACAGACCAAAATGGATGTCAGAAGAGACTCTGAAACTTGTCCTTGAGCAGAGAGTAGCTAAAGCAAATGGAAGAAATGACAAGATAAAAGAGCCGAACAGAAGATTTCAAAGAGCAGCT